ATTTATATATGCAAATATATTTGCTTTTTTTCTTCATCTGGTCTGTTAATTGCTGATTTCAGACTAGACAGTACTAGTCTAGTGAATATTATGAAAATCAGGCTCCTATCTTGACATCACTTTGGGCAACTTTCAGTCCCTACAGATGCAGTGGTGGTATAAATAATTTTTATATCATTTGCTGTTTGCTCTTAAGATAAGTGTCAATTGGATGCATACCAGGCCAGAAACGTGAGGTGAGCTCAACAGGTACCTTCTGAGGGTCCGTGTGTATTTCTGCTTAGTGCCACAAGGGAGACAGATTAAAATCCTCAGTCTGACTGAGAATGCTCATATGAAAAGCTAATGAAAGCTAAATGGGATCAGATGATGTGGTATCTGATACCTGTTATTTGGATATGGTTTCTGATACCTTTTTCTTCTATGAACACCTTTTAGAATTAGGTTTCTGATGGTATGTGTTGGAACCTATGAAAGAAAAAGGTTTGAAAACTCTTGTTTTGATTGATCTCTCACTTGAAACTGATAGCATTAATTGAATGAATGTGGAAATAAGAAAAATAAGTTGTAACAAGTGGATAGTGTGTATGTAGTGGTTTCTCTCATTTTCCTTTTCTAAATGACCTTGGAAAAATCTATTTTGACAGCTGTTGTGCGAAAGGGTCTTCTACTAAAAATCTAGTTCTTTATTATTTAAAAAGAAATGCTTGCTTGACTAATATTAGGTGCTCCCACTACAGAAAAAAGACTGATGTTCTGAAAGCTCATTAGCAGCAAATTAAGTAGAAAGTGAATGGTGTAAGTGGTAATGATAAATGACTATCTAAATAATAGATCCTTGTTAAAATGAAGCAGGTAAGCTCCAGTAGCAGGGAATCTCTAAATCCTCACTTGCTGTTGTTTCTTTGGAGTGTCCCCTCCTGTGTCACCAGTCGTGTGTGTTTGTTCCGCTGAGGTCTGTGGGTCGTGTGTGCTGTGGGGTCGTGTACTGCAGTGTTCACAGGTTTTCGCATAAACATTTCTTGTTGGTTTTCCTCCTTTTATCCCCTTTGGCTTCTTTCGTTTTTGCACTTTTTTGGTGCAGGGACATTTTCTGGTAAGAGCCAGGAGAACAGTATACCTGACCCGTTTTATTTTCCTTTTGCTAGCCCTACTTCTTATGTTATATATAGCAGTTTGTCTGCAGCGCTTGTTGACGTTCAGCTGCTTGTCTGCATCTTCTCTGCGTAGAGATGTGTGGCTGTAGACTCCTCGGTGTGCTTTACTTCCCCCTCTTGCACTGACACTTCTATCTTGAGCTTCCTAATAACTAACTGTATTGCGTATGTGAAAGCTCTTCATCTGTTTTCATATCTTCTTAAAAACAAGATACTAAGCTGATGAAAATGCTGTTTTGTGTGTATTTGACAATTAGGAGTTATGGAGTTAGATTTCACTAGTCGCTTCCCCCAGCCGTGAGGTTAAACTGCCCCTCTTCTGAGCAGTACAGGACACATTTAGTACCCACGGAGAGCTAAGCTTTAAACTTAACTCTCTAAATAGAGATAACTTGGCTGCTTCAGGAGACTTTAAACCACCGGTGAGCGTGAATCATTTTGTGCAGGCAGGGTATAATAATCCCTTCCTTCAGTCTTGCATTTCAGTCCATTAGCTTCCAGTAACTTCCTGAACTGAGCAAATAGCACCGTTTCCAGTAGGTTCCAGGGAAATCTCTCCATCAGCTGTGGCGCTTGTCTTGAAACTTGCCCTTGGCTACAGCCTCCCCTCAGGCTCTGGCTTTTTTACCTGCCACCCCTCTCCATCCAGCAGCTTTTCTTTGCCATCTGAGGGCTCACATATGCACCTGTAAAGCAACATAGATTATATTTTTTGTTTTAAAGCTAAATATCCTTTCTCTGACCTAAAATATTTTAGGTAGAGATGAGTGCCGTGGCTCTTCATGGGACCTGGAGACTTCTAGTTCAGTCATTTACCTGTGAAATTTCCAGGGTTCATTTCTGTTTTACATAGCTTAAATCAACCTCAGTGAGTTTTGAATTTTAAAAACAGAGTAGGCTGAGCATAGGGATAAATACCTTCCAATGTGATGCACGAATGCTTGCTGAGAAGCTAAGAGAACTTCTGAAACACTACCTTTAATAAAAAAAGGGAGGGGAAAAAGAAGTTTGTTGGTTGATCTGCTTTCCTGAAGCTGCTTCGGGCCTGAGGCACAGAATGGGTAGAAGGAAGCATGGTGGGGTTAGATAGTGAACCCAGAAAGGGACACGGCAGGTAACTGCAAATGGCACTAAAAGGGCAGGGGAGGAGGTTTCTGTCATCTGGCTTGAGTTTAAAGAAAATATTGCTGTTAACCCAACTAAGAAATACACCCTGTACACCCTGTTTTTAACCACCGGGGCAGGAGACGCTGTGGGGTTTGCGGGTTTGGGAGGTTTCTGTGTGTCCGTGTTTCTTCATGTGGCTCTGGGGGGTGGTTCCTACCACAGATCGCTCGCTGGGAGCCCTTGTTTTTTTAGCTGTATCAAAAACGTCTGCTTGTGGCTTGGCATAAGCGTTGCCTGCTGAATTAGCCACTGCCGCTTGCCACAGGCTTGGGCTGGATGTGGGGCTATGGAATCGGGATGTTCAGCCGAGCTTCTGCTTGAGGAGAACCCCAGAACTGCTCCTTCTGGCGGTCTAGGATTTCTGTTTTGAAATTTTCATTTCATGAAATATTTTGGTAGTACAGGGTTATCCAGCTTTGAAAAAACAACAACAAAAAAACACGCCTCCAACCCTTTGCTTGTGGCATTTCTTTCTAAAAAGCAGTAATTGTGTCCATGCAGTTAAAATTGTGCCTCAAATGCCCAGCAACATTGTCCTTCCCTAGAGCACTGCTCAGCTCCTGTCGCTCCTACCCCACCCAGGATGGGTACGAGCGTATGCTGGGCAAGCCACAGAAGGGTGCTCTTTCTATAACGAGCCTGCAGGGATTACTGTCAGGCCCTTAATTACCTCTGGGAAGGGACAGAAGACTTAGAAAGCAACTCAAAGCGCCAAAAAGCAGAGTATGAGTCAGAGTCCGGGTGATGCAAGAATAAGCACGGGCCACCTTTTGCATAAAGATCTTGGCCACCATAAAAAAGTTCAAATAATAATAAGAGTAGAGCAAGCCTAGCAGCACCCCATGAGGATCACCTGCCAGGTGAACTTGGTGATCACCTGCACTGGCTCTAGATACCTGGGTGGTTTGGACAAAGGTAAACAGCAAGTACTGTTCTCTGAAGAATCTTAACTTCTAAACAGTCCTTTTTTATTCCTTTCCTTCTCTTTCCTTGCCCTTCCGGGCGCAGCGATATCGGCATCGGGCAGTCTCAGGACGACAGCATCGTGGGGCTGAGGCAGAGCAAGCACATCCCTCCCGCGCTGCCCGTCAGCGGGACCCTCTCGTCCAGCAACCCGGACCTGCTTCAGTCCCATCACCGCATCCTGGATTTCAACACGACGCCTGGTGAGCAGCTCCTCCTCTTGCTCTCCTTGCTTTTTCTGCGGGGGAGGATGCACTCGAGGACTTCTTTAGCTCCCTTCCCATCAGAACAGGGTTTTACTAAATGAGCTTATTTGGCTGAGTGGCACAGAGTAGGTGGTGTGTGCATGGGAAAGAGAGGGAATAGGAGGAATTTCTGTCTTAGGTGAAGGGTTTAACTGAAACTCCCAAAGGGGATGGGATTTGGGCTCTTATCGGGCTGCAGGAAGGTTCTCAGCATGAAACCTTCTCTAAGTACCCAAATCTTCCGTATTAAATCATTGCTGCTTGAGGAGGATACAGTGATCATAGCTACACAGAGGCTTGGTTATTGCAGTCTCATATCTGGAGCACTTCTTAAACAGGACTAAAATGCAGTGTCCTCCAAAGCCTGAGGGGTTTCATGCACATGCTCCAGGGTGGATGCTCACACACGAGCCTTGCCAGAGTCTTCCCCCTTGGAAGCAGGAGCGAATCCTCAGGTCCTGGGGGGCTGGGAAGCAGGGGGATTCCAGTGGGTGGTGTGTGAGTTAGTTGCAGTGCCTAAGGCTGTATCTGAGAAAGTGGGAAGATTTGTATTTTATTTAGCTTATCTACAGTCTAGTGCGAAACACTTTAAACTTATTTTTATAAATGAGAGCTGAACTTTTTGTCTGCATTTTCATATCTACAAATTAGTGTAAATTCCCTTCTCCACCTTGCAATTTACCCAAAATTGGATGATTTTCATAATGTGTGTGTAACGCTGAGTACAGCAAATGGCTGATTTCCAAAGCTGTAAGAACTACTGTATTACAAAGCTCAAACAAATTCCATTAATTGAGAAGGAAAACCATCACAGTTCTCCATGAATCAAACATGAAGTTCAGAAACATTTAATGAATGGGAAGTATTTTACTGTTTGCCATTGCTCTGGAAAGCAAGATGAATAATGATGTAATCTCATTAACAGCTTTTCACTATCTTTATGGAAATCATTTTAAGTAATTACTGCTTTCTCACTATTTTTTTCTCCTCTTAAATTCCATCTTTGCATTCCATGCAAACTGCATATTTGTAAATTAATTCTTTGCAGTTTTCCCTGGGTAGGAAGGGAGGGGAAAGAGCCACTGAAATCGATAACGTACCTTAAGGCCTTTAATGATGTGGATAGAAGAGTTGAATTGTACTGCTATATACCTTAAGACTTGGGAAAAGCTAACGCCTACAATTTTAATTTCTTTCATTACCTTGATCAGCTTGCAAGAAATTAGAATGCACTGGAGAAGAAAGAGAAAAGTAGTGGAGTTGTCATCCTTGGAGGCTACGGGGAATATCCCTCAGGATGGGAAATAAAACAGCTTGCTGCTTTGGAAGGGTAGTGTTTGAGGAGGAAATCAGATCATCTGTTCTTGAAGCTTGAAATCTGCAACGAGTCGTTTTGGTTGCTCTTCTGGTTTGCACAGGCTTTTTCAAATTTATCTGTAAAGGTTTATTTTCAAATGTTCAAATCCTTTGGTATTTCTTCTTGCATGCTTTCTTTGCTATTCCACTAAAAGTGAAACAAGAGGCTAATGTAGAGCTGTGGGTCTCCAGCACGTGGTTCTCACACAAGCTTTACAAGGGGAATCCATCCCCATCCCTGACCACTGCGTTCTGCAGCTCCCTTTTCTGAGGAGGAATGAGGAGGATGGTTGCAGTTCTTTTCTAGTGCTGTTTTATTTAGAAATCATTGTGCCAAATTGCTTGCTAACATCTCTGTATTCTTTATAGCACTTTTGCTAGTGGACTGGAATGCAGCTTGAGAAATCTCTTGATAAAATACGGTACAAAGCAGCTACTACTGTGTTTGCTGCTCTCTGCATTTCCTCATGTGTGGATATGAAAGATCCTGAGCGATCCTTCAGAGCAGGATATTTTCTTCTTGAGCACTTGGGATTATGAAGTGAGCTCCCATCATAATACTGTCTACAGTAGCTTTTTGTCTTCCTAGCATTTCTATAAACACCCAGTGTTTCTGTAGCAGCAGCACACAGCACATTCTAGACAGCAGCCGTTTTTTATTAATCCCTTTGAATGGCTGTGTCTTTGGCATCCATCTTCCCCAAAAGGTCCAAAATTGCAGGAATGGTTCTAGGCACTGCCCTGCATCCATCTTCAGCTAATTGCTGAGGAAGACAGGGGTCAATAACAAATTGCTAAGAAGAGGTGAAATCGGCTTGCTGGCTATAAAAGCTGTGTGCCCCTTGACTCCAGCACTTGGCACGGCTAAAAAAATGGCCTGTAGTGATCCACATTATGTGAAAATTATAATGCAGTCACTCACTTTTAATGTGTTTGAGTGCTTCTCAAGTTGCAGAAGTATTACTGTGAGTATAAAAGGTATGAGTTTATTTAAACGTAACTTATAGGCTTAAATATTTAAGGTTTAAACAGTCTCTGTGGCAGATAGCAAACTGACAGGTGAGACAGATTCACCCTAATACTTTCAAATTAATGTTTCGGAGACATGCAGCAGTGTTCAGAAAACATTAGTGTTTTCATTTGTCACGAGATTTCTGTTGCCAAATAGATTTTTAGTTTTTTTTTTCCCTTTTTTTTTTAAAATATATTCCTGTTTTAAAGGGAGGCGATTGACTTAAATTTAAAGCATCATTTTGGGCTCTAAATTCAGGGGACTTTGTTATTTTCCATCTTCTTGTTCGTACAACCTTCACGTGAAACCTCAAAACAACAAAAAAAATCAAGGAAAGAGTCATGCAACTAAAGTAGGTTATTTGTATCAGAGGAAAGAAATTAAATTTAATTGAAAGTACTTTACCTTATCATATAAAAATATTCTATGTTAAAAAGCCCAGTGGTGTACAATTAGGGCTTTGTTTTCTTTTATAATATAATAATGGCAATCAAGAAATTTGACTGGATTAATGGTTCTATATTTCAATCCATCAACGCACTTATGGAATTCCTCAATTCCAGAATTTGGAGCTGGGCTGATCACTTCTCAGATTTCTTAAAAATAACCTTATGGCTGTTAGCTGTAAGTTTTGTATTATATGTTATTTTAAGCAATGTATTTAGAACTCAAATTTTGGAAAGTATTTTTTCTGTCTTTAACTGTTTTTGTTTCTCATAATTAAAACACTGGCACATAGAAATGAATACCTGGGAAAATTAGGCTCCTCGTTAGTTTTTTCTGCCCATATGTTGGCAATGTTTGCTTATTTCTTATTGTCGCATTCCAAGGTCCCTGTCTATGACCTGACATTCTTCTTTCCCAGTTGTTAATGAAACTGATTTATTATTTTTTAAAAAATCTTATCTTGAACTTTTTTATTGTTATTATTTGAATCAGAGCTTGCTGGAATGCTATTTTGGTGTCATCAAAGATGCTCTGATCTCTTTGTCGTAGGGTTTGTGGGGATGGAAACCTTAAAGAAAAGCTTTGAACAACAAGACAGTGATTTATTGGGCTGCTAGTATTTGTCTAGGACTTCTGACAAGGCTTTTCATCACTTGATTTAATTCTGTTTAAAATCAGCATTTTATCTAGACTGGAGACAAATACGAGACAATTTTCCATCTTGTGTTACAGACCTTTTCCAGGATGACTGGTAAATCCAGTGCATCTCTATGGCTACTCATTTAAACTTAAGTTCTCTTAAGTTTTGGAGACCGTCTGCCCCATTAAAAGGTCTCTGATAGCTCCAATTTCTCGATCTAAACCAGATTGCATTAGTGCAACTGAGTTGGAGGCTATGTAGACGCAAGCAAGAACTGCTTCATCAGAAGAGAGATAAGACAGTGTTACTGGAATGAAGTGTAATTGCACTATTAGTGAGATGTAATCTGCCTGATATCATTCCTTGCTCTTACTGTGCTGTTCTCTGCCCCACTGAACGGTGTGCGGGGCACATGGGGAGGAATAACCCCAGACACCAGTACAGGCTGGGGACCGACCTGCTGGAGAGCAGCTCTGCAGAGAGGGACCTGGGTGTCATGGTCAACGACAAGGTGACCATGAGGCAGCAGGGTGCCCTCGTGGCCAAGAAGGCCAATGGGATCCTGGGGTGCATTAAGAAGAGCGTGTCCAGCAGGTCGAGGGAGGTGATCCTGCCCCTCTACTCAGCCCTGGTGAGGCCACATCTGG